AATTAAGTGAGGGAATTCTCTCAGTTCTTTCTGTTCTAGTGAGAAGACGTGACAGGTGGAGGTCAACTCTTTTGTCAGGTGTACCCACTTGAAGACAAGTGGGTGAGTATGCATTCAATCCTTAGACATTGACACTGTTAGGGGCCGGCCTGCTTAGTAGTCTTCGTAGACGGAACCGAAGGTTTTGAGTTCTATCCTCGTTAGAGAGGGGGTCTTGAATGCTCACTGCCATACTAGGACCAGCCAGTCTGTCAGTTGCAACGTAGAATTTCATACGTAAGTACCATACCATACCATATTAGCACATACAGAGATATAATTGTCAATTCAAATCCAATATTAGAAGAGTTAGTAAAGGTATTGGAAGTAATCGAAGAGGTTAGAATTAGAAGATATTATTCAAGAAGTATGATTTAATGAGAAAAGTTTAGAAAGTCAAAACTAGAGGTGTTGAAGAATCCAGAAGATTAGGATTTGAGAGAACACAAAGAATAAATGCACTGGCGCCATTGCGAGCGATTCTGAGCCATGTCATTCAAGGTCTCTAACCATCGATTATTATCATCTCGTGGACCCCAACCAGGTAGTCGACAATTACCGACATGGCTAAGTCCACTTGTCAATGACTTCATGGACCAAATGACCATCCAGCGTTCTAATCGTAGTCTAACAATGATTGATTCATGAGTAATTATTCAGTAATATAAACAACAAACTCCATAAAACTCTATACTGAAAAAACAAACAGACGAACACACTGACATGAATCGTTAAATTAAAAACAATCAACAATCAAGACAACCGTTCAATCAATAAAAGCAAGCAAGCAAGCTAGCTAGCAAGTAAGCAAACTAACCAACAAACTAGCAGTTAATCATGTTAGAAGAGAATCATTCACTCACACTCACTCACTCAGACACACACACACACACACACGTAAAAACACAGTAACAAATAGAGAAATTTGATATCTGTTGTATTTGAAAGCAAAAACAATCAAGTACATACACGCTCACACACACGCACACACACACACACACGAAAACTGATTACAATTACCAGTAGTGTTTATTGAACAATTGAATTGATTGTTGAACATTGAATTATTATTATCATTATTATTATTATTGTGATTAGTATTGATAACACTAAGTGCTTTAGAAGTAGTAAAACAAAAAAAAAGAGGCGAAACAGAAATAGAGTTAAAAACGTCGACAACAACAACACTGATGAAAACAAAATGAGAAAGTGTGTAACTCTGGTGTCTGATTTCAGGTGTGACTAAATAAATAAATGAAATAACACTAGTGTCAATAGAAAAACAAGGAAATTCGCATGCAAAGATGTGACCAGTGAAGGAGTTCAACCCTGTTGAATGTGTAGGCAATCACTACTACCAAAGACAAATGGGTGAGATCGCGCAAAATCTGTAGACTAATCAGAGTTAGGCAATAACACTGTTAAATGCTGGCCGGCCCAGTGGTCCAGAAGTTGGGCGTTCGCGCACAACACCGAAGGTCCTGAGTTCGAATCCTGCGAGTTGAAGGTTTGCCAACCGCCTACGTGCATATTCATCCTATTCGCTCTAATGTTAATCCCTTTAAATATCTCGATGACTCAGACATTTTACTATGTATGTATATGAACACTTTAATCTTACTAATTCAATCGCACATTCCCCGATTCGGTCGCTAGTGTACCTGCTCTGGATGGCCGTTCTGTATGGGTATGGGACTCATCAGCGGTGCCCAACCACCACTGGTGTACCTTACAGGATCCAAACGCAAGACCTAGGGTCTTGCGCGCTGACGCCTAACCTCCGGACCATTGGGCCGACATCCGTCGGTGTTAATGTGTAACTCTGATCAATCTAGAGACTTTGCGCTACCCATAAGGTGTTCGAGCGCAAGACCGTAGGTCCTGGGTTCGCATCCTGCAAGGTGTAGGAGTTGTGGATGCTCACTGGTGAAACGGCCGTCCACTGCTTCCAGGTTTCTAAAAATGGTGGTCTAACAATGATTGACTGATGATTTCAAACGTGCAAAACACACTAATCTCCATAATTCTAACTGAAAATATGAAATAGTTATGCAGATTGTTGACTTTTAGACCACTATAAGAAACACCTAAAAGCACTTGGTGGCCGTTTCGTCCCGACATAGGACTCATCAGCAGTGCGAACCCAGGACCTGCGATCTTGCTCGCGAACGCCTAACCTCTTGACAACCAATAAGATATCTAACGGTTTTAATGTTTAACTCTGGTCAATCAAGAGATCATGTGCGACCTCACCCACTTGTCTTCGGTAAGCACTACTTCACAACCAAGCAGGGTTAAACTTCCCTGGTCGTTACTTCTCACTAGAACCCAGATCACGGACCCAGTCACTAGTGAGCAAATGATAATTTGTATGATAATCATATCTGCACAGGAGAGCGGCTAATCTAGACGGAGTAGCTGAATAGGTAAAACAATGGCGTTGGAAGATGACAGTGCTGGGTTCGAGTTCTGGACTGAATCTCAACTATGGGTTGCAGGTATATACAAGCGGTGAACTCCAAAATAGAATGAAACGCAAATTCTGGATTTTGTTACTAGCCACCATTGCTCGTATATCAGGGGATCAACGAGTAAGCGACGCTAGGGTTAGGAAAAGAGTATTAGATAAGGAAGGTAGATCAATTGACGAAGTAGTGAGTCTTCATCAGTTGAGGTGGTTTGGACATGTGTTAAGTATGCCTAATCACCAACTCACTCAACGAGCGATACTTTGCGATGTAGGGGTGGGCTAGAGAAAGCTAGTGACAGTCAAACCAAAACATGGTGCAAATCCATGAGGACACTGACATCTGGGCTGAGTCATGTTGGTAGACTTAGCCTACTACTGGGTTGGGGTGTGCGAGACAATAGTAACCGACGGTTAGAGACTTTGAAAAACATGGCCGAAAAATCGTTTGCCATGGAGCAGGTGCATCCATTCTTTCTCTTTGTTGGGGATGTTAGATCCCCAGAACTCGCTTGATAAATACCTTATCTTGGATTCCACGTTTGCGAGCATGGGTTGATCAGTTGACCTTGAGATTTCATTTCCCACCAGGAAAATCCTTGGATGTGATTGGCTGCTGTGTGTTTTTATGATGTATAAATAAACGAGAGTTGTGTGCTTGCTGGGTGTTTGTAGAATATACTTTCTACGCTTATCAAGACTTTTCTTTTTTAGTTTTGGGATCAAGGTAGCCTACCTGGACGCTGGTTCATTGCCTCGTTCGCTTTTATCGACCAACGTGAACTCGTAATAGCTTCAAGCGTACCTAGTGACGAACCTAACAGTCTTCTCTTAAAGTCTAACCTTCCGAATTCCTCACGGCCGTTTTTCTGCTTTTTTTTTAATTTGATTTCTTTGGGATATACTTCACGAGCGATATCTTCGAACCCTAATCTTCTTCATTACCACTAATACTTCTACTATCTCTACTTCAATCGACAAACCGATCTCACATTCTGTGTTAATGTGATGCGGCAAAATGAACTGGTGTTCGTACGTGCTAAGTTTTACACTGTAGTTGATTGACTGACTAATTGACTGACTGCTAGCCACCATTGATGTCTGTTTATAATATTCTATTGTTGTATTACTCTACTTGAGTTTTTATTTGACACATAAATCATTGTTATTGTGTTTTATTGTTCTTTAACTAATATTATGATGTGGTTATGCCAGTTAGATGCAACGTAGAACTTTGTACGTAAGTACATCAGTTCATGTTGCCATACCCCATTAGCACACACAGAGATGTAATTGTCAATTCAAATCCAATAGTAGAAGAGGTAGTAAAGGCATCAGAAGTAATTGGAGAGGCTAAGGATTAGAGGATATTATTCAAGAAGTATGATTCAGTGAGATAAGTTTAGAAAGTCAAAACTAGAGGTGTTGAAGAATCCAGAAGATTAGGATTTGAGAGAACACAAAGAATAAATGCACCGGCGCCATTGCAAACGATTTTGAGCCATGTCGTTCAAGGTCTCTAACCATCGGTGACTATCGTCTTGCGGACCCCAACCAGGTAGCCTACATCTACCAACATGACTCAGTCCACTTGTCAGTGATTTCATGGATTTGTGACATGTTTTGATTTGGCCGCCTCTAACTTTCTTCCAACCAACTCCTCCAACACTACAAAACAAAACTCGTCGAGGCAGTCGGTGGTTAGGCATACGCAACACATGTCCTAACCACCTCAACTGATGAAGTCGCAAAGAATCAAATACAACGTGAGGAATCTGATTTTTTTCCTTCTTTCCTGACGTAACAAAAACTCTGAATAGAAATTATTTGTTGCACATTGAAATCATCAATCAATCATTGTTAGACCAGCATTAATAGGAACCTGGGAGCACTGGACGGCCGTTTCGTCCTGGTATTGGACTACTCATCAGCAGTACACATCCACGACTCCTGCACCTCACAGGATTCGAACCCGGGACCTTCGGTATTGTGCACGAACGCCTAACCATCGGACCACTAAGCCGCCTATCGTCTAACGGTGTTAATGTGTAAGGATTTTCACAACCTCACCCATTGTCTTCGGTAGTTACTGCCTACACCCGATACAGTTGAACTCCATTGGTCACGTCTTCTCAACTAGAACTCTGAGAATTTCCTCACGAAGCTAGTCACTACTAGTGAGCACATTTTACGATTTTTCAATTCAAGTTATGGTCTAGAGGTTAGGCGTTCGCGCGAAATCCTTAGATTGATCAGAGTTTAACATTAACACAGTTGGATGCCGGATGCCAGAGGTTAGACTCTCACGCGCAAGACCGATTGTCCTGGGTTCGAATCCTGCGAGTAGCGAGTCATGGATGCGTAGTAGTCCCACAATGGGACGAAACGGCCGTCTAAAAAGTGCTTCCAGGTTCATTTCTAATGCTGGTGGTCTAACAATGATTGATTGATTGATCATTTCAAATGTGTAAAAAATCAATAATATCAAACTCACCATTGGACGGTTGTATTTGGCCAAATGTAGTCGTTGTTGGCGGATTGAACATGTAGGCCGGTTGATTCAGTGCATAATTTTTAGGTGTAATTGCTAATTGTTGCTGCTGCTGCAGCTGCAGCTGCTGCTGAGGATTAGTATTGATTAGTAGAAATGGATTTGTTGAATGTAATTGACTACTACTAGCAGGAGACATCATCACAGGGACTAGACTATTTGATACAATTGTTGATTGATTAGTAGTCGGAAGAAATAATTGTGAATTGATATTCAATGGATGTGACAATGAATTCGTGGAAATGTCATTGAATTCTAGAACAAATAAACAAAATAATAATAATAATAACATGAATATCTGCAACAACGTAGAACTTTGTACCTACTAACATCAGTTCAATTCGCTTACTTACTTACTTACGCCTGCTACCCCCAATGGAGCATAGGCCGCCGACTAGTTTTCTCCAACCAACTCTGTCCTGGGGCTCCCTCCTTTCCAGTTCTGTTCAATGTTTGTTTATTCCTCTCATGTCTCTCCCTATTTCTCGGCGTAATGTGTTCCTTGGCCTTCCTCTTTTCCTTTTGCCTTGAGGGTTTCAAGTGAGGGCTTGTCTCGTGATGCAGTTAGGTGCTTTCCGCAATGTGTGTCCTATCCACTTCCACCACTTCTACCTGATCTACTCCTCCTTTGGAATCTGGATTGTTCTAGCCCACAGCAGGTTGTTGCTGACGGTGTTCGAAGTATTTTGCGTAGACAATTGTTCATAAATACTTGTATCTGCTCGATGATGGCTTTGGTAGTTCTCTAAGTTTCCGCTCCATACAGTAGAACTGTCTTCACATTTGTATTGAAGATCCTGATTTTGGTTTTGGTTGAAAGTTGTTTGGAGTAGCAGATATTTTTCAACTGTAGAAATGCAGCCCTTGCTTTACCAATCCGTACCCTCACATCTGCATCAGATCCACCTTAGTTGTCGATGATGCTGCCAAGATATGTAAAGATGTTAACGTCCTCCAAGGCATGTCCATCAAGAGTGATTTGGTTGGTGCAAGTTGTGTTGCATCGGAGAATTTCGCTTTTTCCTTGTGTATGTTGAGACCTGCTGCTGCTACACTGGTCGTCTTCTCTTGCATTTCTTGATGCGTGTGCGATAGAAGAGCCATATCATCTAGGGAGTCCAAAACGTCCAGCTGAAAACCTAGCTGTCCATTGGAAACCGTGATTTCCTCTAGATGTTGACATCTTTAGTTCAAGTTGCCATACCACAATCAGCACACAAAGAGATCGAATTAGTAGTAGTAGTAGTAGTAGTAGTAGTAGTAGTAGTAGTAGTAATCAAAAAGATTAGTGATTGCAGATATCAATCGAGAAGTACATCCCAGAGGAATCGATTTAAAAAAAGGAGCGAGAGATAAAAAAAAACGGTCGTGAGGAATTCAGAAGACTACAATATGAGATAGAGAGAAAGAGTCGATATGCCTGCACCATTAAAAACGATTCCGAGTCATGTTATTACTCAAGGTCTCTCTCTCTCTCCCTCTCTAACCATCGATTACTATAATCTCACAGACCATAACCAGATAGTCTCTATACCTATCCACATGACTCAATCCAGTTGTTAGTGATTTGTGCCATGTTTTGTTTAAGTGTCTGTGTGCAAGACCAAATGTCCTGAGTCCAATTCCTGCGACTACCAGGAATCACGCATACAAAAATGCTGATTAGTAGTCCCAATTGTAGTGAAGAAGAGCACAGGTGAGGGCAACCGAATTGTATTTAACAAAAATTAAAGAGTTATTCAGTAAAATCGGAAAACCATATCGTAAATCGTTCATTTGCAAAATATCAATCCATCATCCATCGAACTGGGCTGTTCCTGTTGCAAAACATCAACGATCCATTGTCACTATTCATGCGTTTCATACAAATTCCATTGTGTTCCCCCTCTTTTGTTTTCTTGATCTTCTCCCATCTTCTGCTGCCAGACATTACGTTGACACACGCGTCATATACTACTTATAAGTAGCTCGCACCACACTCGTTGCCCCTTTTAATAAGCTGTCGTCACTTTCAAAACAGAGACCCTGGTCAGTTAATATCACCTTCCGTATTCCGTGACGCGCTACAATATGCCGGATTACTACTTCGGTCATTGTTCTTGCCCGCTAGTCTGGAATGGGTACGGCATCTATCCAACGTGGGGCGTTTACTAGTTCCCACTGCTGGGACACGGCGGCAGGCACACTCTCGATAAATTGCGACGCCAACAACTGTGCCCTCGACTCCCCATCCATACTCGGCAGCGTACGGCGCAGCAACATCGTGAGCTGTCGTATACCGCCTTCGCCTCACCTCCCCGCAGCGTCCCCAGCACCGCCAACTCCGCCCCGGGCCACCACCAGCTCCACCGCGGCCACAAACTCCTCCAGGAAGCTCCACAAATCTCCGTCCTCCAACTCCTTCGAGCACAGGAGCTCCTTCTTCCGAGCAGGCAGCGACACCAAATGTAGTGAAGGAGAGAACACAGGTGGGGGCAACCGAATTATATTTAACGAAAATTACAGAGTTACTCAGTAAAATAATAGGAAAACCATATCGTAAATCGTTAATTCTCAAAATATCAGTCTGTGTGCTAGACTGAATGTCCTGAGTCCAATGCCTGCGAGTTTCAGGAGTCATGATGAGTAGTCCCAATACCAGAATGGAAACGGCCATCTTTCAATGCTTTCCAGGCTCCTATCAATTCATATTCATTTTATACATGATTACCAAATCGTTTTACTTTTGATATGATTTATACAAATCAAATCAACTAACTTACGTAATAGATTTTGTTCAGTAGTCAATGTAGACTGCTGGCTTTGTTCAATAGGCATTGTTGACGCTGAACTATGATTATTGAATTGTTTTGTATGTTTCATTGCTGTCGAGCATTCATTAAACGACAATAACAGATCAAGAAAATTCTCATTGTCTAATTTTAATGCATCATCATAATACGTTGATTCGTGATTATTATTGTTGTTGTTGTTATTACTATTTATACTACTTATATTACTCATCATCGCATGTTCATGATGATCTGCTGAGAATTTATGTTGTTTCGCTGATGAGACAAATGATTCTAAACGTGCACGTTCTTCTTCAATAATACGTTGACGTTCTGCTGTAGTCAATATGAAATTAGTGGATTCTGTTGAATAGGTTAATTCATCATGATTCGCAGTAGGTTGTGATGATGATGGGGGATTTGATGTTGGTGTTGATGTTTGTAATTGTGGTGATAGATTAGTCGTGATTTTTCTGGAATATTAGGGGAAAAAAAACACACAAGGAAAAAAGTTGATGATGAGGACAGTAAGTGTTGACGGATACAGAGAGAATGTATATATAGGGGAAAGATACACAATACGACAGGTTTAAGGTTCATAGTAACCAATCAACATCAAGGTTAACAGAACAAGCTATAGGTTGTATGTGTGAAGAAATGTTAAATACTTCACTTCCTCTATCTAAAGTAACTCCGCCTGTAGACTCTTCGGGGCTACTGCCGGTCCCAAGGCCGGATAAAGGAGGAGGAGGAGGATTGAGAAGTGGGTTGGCGACCCCATCCTTAACTTGCCATAAAAACGCTAACAAGAAAAAAACTAATTCAAACCATATAAACTCTAGTCTGGGAGTTAGAAGATCTTCATTTAGAAGAATTATGATGTCTCATGATGAAAGGCGAGTTCTGTCGGAAGTCATGAGGCTGATGCGCTTTCTGACAACCAGGATATTCACCAAATATCCTAAGAGTACTATTTTTGGAAGTATATAATCCTATTGGTCAAAAATAAGGTCGTTTTAAGTGTCAAAGTCAAATACTTGAATGTTGTCTCTGATTGGTCATCTGGACTGTCAATGTCATTTCAAATGTTCTTTCCTATTGGTCATCCTAAACTGTCAATGTCACAGAGTTCGATGCTCTTTCCTATTCGACCTAAATGCATAAATGCGCGCACTATCTGTAAGATTCCATGTTTCCGTTTCTTCCTGCCGGCTACCTCTCTTCTGTACACGACCCAAATAAACAACTCCATCCAACGGTGTTGCGTTCTGATATATAGGAGGAGATTTGGAAATAGCACTTGGGTCGTATTAAAATATTTGAATTCGGACGTCGGTAGGATTTGAATAGCTATGTAGCAGCATTATAACACCTTTTCACGGTGTGGGCAGCCGGGAAGTAACATCAGTCCTCATATCCGAAGTTTGTGCTGATGAAGTTGTTCAGAAGATAAACAATGAAAGATCCATAATCAAAACACATCCAGCTCATAGAACGAAACACCACCAGAAGGGAGAGAGATACATGTTCCGCAGAATCCTAAAGAAATAAATGACGTATGAACGTGTTGTTGATCACCAGCTACCATGGGATTGTATCGCCTAAAATTGCTCCACTGCTTTGGGGATTAGACCTCTCTGTGTTAAAGGCTTGCAGAGTGGCTTTCTAAGCTAAGCACCTGGTTCAGTTTAGAAACCTGGATAGTCTTCCAGCCTAAACACAAATCCACTGATTCATATGACGCATAAATATTTTTCGATTTCCGCTTTGTATCAGTGTGTAAGTGTTCAAATAAGAATTGATATTAAGAACTTCAACTAATCATTCGATGTTACTATATTTGCATGCTGCTAAGCAGTGTGTCTTCATATAAAATGGTATGGTAGTTAGATTGTAATTATTTGAACTCAATAGCTTAACACACAATACGCTGTTAGGTGTTTGAAATGATAAGTATTAGGGTGATGAAAGTTTCAGTGTGAACATTAATACTAGAATGTGAGTATATCGAACTGATGAGTTCTATATGGGACGAAATATGTATTCTGAAATTTCAATGTTAGCTACAATTTAAAAATGATTATCAAAGTAAAACAATTTTTAAATGTCAAACGACATTTTAGGACTGCAGTAAGTAGTTGCGACTGATAAAATCTGATTTCCTAGATGCGTCTAATAACCCAAGACTAAATCTACACTGCAACTTGAACACAAGAGAAATGGTGCAAAGTACAAGAAGGAGAAGAATGCTATACTCTTAGGTGTTAGAATAAAACAGCGAACCCATGTGTATTTAAAAACGATGTTATACCATTTTTACAACCTTATGTCACGACGTTATAACATTCAAGAAATCCAGTCGAACTGGGATCGGATCAAAACTCTTCGGTATTTTGGGAGTCCCTTGGAGGCTTCTGGAAGCCAACCACTTAGTCTAAATCTAACAACATGACTCAGTCCAGTTGTCAATGACTTCTTCCTGAATTTATGCCATGTTTTTGGTTTGGCCACCCCTTTAACTTTCTTCCCAACCTATTCCCACATTCCTACAAAACATCGCTTGTCGAGGTCAGTCAATCAGTGGTTCGGAGCATACACAACACACATGTCCCAATACACCTCATATGCATTACAGACGGGACAAACACTTGAACATTACAGTGTTCTAGTAAACAATGAACCAAATGTTTTTGTTATTGTTGTTGTAAGTAAGTAAGAGGATTGATCGACTGACCTCAATCCCCCCCCCACCAAAAAAAATCAATAACTCCAGAAAACATGCATCATACATTATTTCATATATTCATTCACTATTAAACCAAAAACAAAATGGTTATTTTTCCTGATGGTTTCCTGATGGCTTTATTTATGAAGTTACAATTCAAAGGAGATGTGGCCTGCGATACTCTGCAGGACAGATTAATAAGAGTAATGAATAGAACATTCAATGCTGCCAAACTTGCATTGACATTGTCCTGTCGACCAGCGATGTCTACCCGAACGAAGGATAAGTTACCTGAATTGGCCTCCTCTATGTGTGTTTACAAATTCAGCTGTTCCTGTGGAGATAGCTTTATCGGGCGTACTTCCAGGCAACTTACACAACGAATAAGTGAACATCTCCCAGCATGGTTTACAAAGGGTCAGTCAAAAACAATACGCAGTTCTATCTTAGCACACCTGGTAGATAGTGGTCATATTGTAGATAAATCTAGATCTTTTCGGGTGATCTATCGTATACCTCCATCATTTCCCAACGGAGTTCGATCCCGTCTCCTACACATTGCAGAAGCCATAGGAATACGTACATTCAACCCTAATTTATGTGTTCAGAAGAAATTCGTGACACCCCTATCTCTTCCGTGGCCGGATATGACGTAACTAATGATTGACATATTTTTATTTTTATTATTTTTGATTTATTATTTTATTTTATTTTTACACATTTGCTTATTACGTAATGTTTTTGACGTTTTTGATGATTATTTGAATTCTATTCACCCACCCTTGACCTACTTTAGTTATCATATTTTACAAATTTTCTTACTACTATCAGTACACCTGTTTTCCTATTACCCACTTGAACTTTTGCCTATTAGATGTAGTTACGTAATCTTTTTCATTTCATTGTGATTATCACTCAAATTGCCTTGATTGGTTTAACATTTTCATATAAATATTCATGTATAAAATGTTTAGCCATATGATAAAAAAAACACATGATTTTTTATGCTTCAAATGATACACTACACTACACACACACACACACACACTGTAACTAAAAAAGAAAACATGTGATGTTATTGAAAACAAACGAATGAATAATTTATAATATTTGAAATCATCAATCAATCAATCAATCATTGTTAGACCACCACCACCGAGTAAGCAATGCTGTCGTTAGGAAACAGGTGCTAGGTAAGGATGGCAGATCTATTGATGAAGTATTGAAACTTTATCAGTTGAGGTGGTTGGGACATGTGTTGTGTATGCCTAACCACTGATTGCCTCGTCGAGCTATGTTTTGTTGTGTAGGAGTAGCTTGGGAAAAAGCTGGGGGCGGCCAAACCAAAACATGGCAGAAATCCATGAAGTCATTGACAAGTGAACTGAGTCATATTGGCAGATGTAGGGTACCTGGTTGGGGTCCGCGAGACGAAAGTCATCGATAGTTAACGATCTTGAATGACATGGCTCAAAATCGTTTGCAATGGCGCAATTGCATCCATTCGTTGAGCACTCTCAAATTCTAATCTTCTGGATTAGTCAGCACCTCTAACTTTGTCTTTCTAACCTTATCTCACTCACTGAATTATACTTCTTGAATAATATCTTCAAACTCCCTAGTCTTCTTCATTACCATTAATACCACCTCTACTATCTCTATCACTATGAGATTTGATTTGACATTTGCGTCTCTGTGTTAATGTGGTATGGCAACATGAACTTATGTACATACGTACGAAGTTCTACGTTGCAACTGACTGACTGACTGTTAGACCACCATCATTAGAAAGAAACCTGAAAGCACTGGTTAGACGGCCATTTCGTCGCGAGTATGGAACTACTCATCAGCAGTGGCAGTGCGCATCCATGACTCGCTACTCGCAGGATTCCAACCCAGCACCTTCGGTCTTGCGCGCGAGAGTCCAACCCCTGGCATCCAACGGTGTTAATGTTAAACTCTGATCAATCTAAGGATTTCGCGCGAACGCCTAACCTCTAGACCATAACTTGAATTGAAAAATCGTAAAATGTGCTCACTAGTAGTGACTAGCTTCGTAAGGAAATTCTCGGAGTTCGAGTGAGAAGACGTGAACAGTGGAGTTCAGCCGTATCGGGTGTAGGCAGTAAGTACCGAAGACAATGGGTGAGGTTGTGAAAATCCTTAGACATTAACACCGTTAGACGTTAGGTATGGGACTCATCACTCGTGGATGCGCACTGCCACTGATGAGTACCATACTCGCGATGAAACGGCCGTCTAAACAGTGCTTTCAGGTTTCTTTCTAATGGTGGTGGTCTAACAATGATTGATTGATTGATGATTTCAAAAGTGTAAAACACACAAATCTTCAAAACTCTAACCGAAAATATCATAAAATGTGCTCACTCACTTGTGACTAACTTCGTGAGGAAATTCTCGGAGTTCTAGTTGAGAAGACATGACCAGTGGAGGAGTTTAACCCTGTCGGGTGTAGGCAGTCACTACCAAAGACAAATGGGTGAGGTCACGCAAAATCCCTAGATCAATCAGAGTTAGACATTAACACCGTTGGATGCCGGCCCAGTGGTCCAGAGGTTAGGCGTTCGCGCACAATACCGAAGGTCCCGGGTTCGAATCCTGTGAGGTGCAAGAGTCTTGGATGAGCACTGCTGATGAGTCCCATATCAGGACGAAACGGCCATTCAGTGCTTCCAGGTTTCTTTCTAATGGTGGTCTGACAATCATTGATTGATCATTTCAAATGCGTAAAAAGCACAAATCTCCAATACTCTAACTGAGAATAGTTTATCAATTTAGACATTCTTTAAAGTTGAAAGTTGAATTGATTTCGGGTTTTTACTGTTATGTGAATGTTATGACTGAATTCAGAAATGTGTGGTATAATGAATGATGCTGTAAAATTATACATTGAAGATAATTTAGTCATTTATCTAATAGGGAAACAATGATTTTTGTTTTTTCCAATATGAGTATGATTTACTAAGTAGTAGTGTTCGAATGTAGTGAAGGAGAACACAGGTGAGGTCAACCGAAGTGTATTTAACGAAAATTATAGAGTTAGTTACTCAGTAAAATAGGAAAACCATATCGTAAATCGTTAATTTGCAAATCTTCAATTCATCATCAATCCACATTGTCTGACATTTCACTATTCATGCGTTTCATACTAATTCCATTGTGTTCCCACTCTTCCTTTCTTGGTGATCTTCCCCCATCTGCTGTTGCCAGACATTACGTTTAAACTCACGTCATATACTACTTATAAGTAGCGCACAACACACGAATACCATTGATTGGATCAAGGATATTCAATAGTCATGGGAAAAATTATCACGATCATCATCAACGACATATTGTATAAAATGTGCTAGAAAGTAATTGCAAACCTTTTGGTTTGCATTTGTTCTGAATTATGATTAAAAACATAAAGGGAAAAGTAAGATTCTCCGATACAACACAACATGCGCCAATCAAATTACTCTGGATGGAGATGCCTTGGAGGACGTTAAAACCTTTACATATCTGGGCAGCATCATCGACGAGAAAGGTGGATCTGATGCGGGTGTAAAGGCATGGATCGGCAAAGTAAGGGCTGCATTTCTATAATTGATAAATATCTGGAACTGCAAACAACTTTCAATCAAAACCAAAATCAAGATTTTCAATACAAATGTCAAGACAGTTCTACTGTATGGAGCCGAAACTTGAAAACCACGAAAGCCATCGTTTACAAGAAACAGATGTTTATTGACAGTTGTCTACGCAAAATACTTCAGATCCGTTGGACATACATGATCATCAGCAACAACCTACGGTGAGAGAGAACGGACCAGATCCCACTGGAAAAGGAAAACAGGAAGAAGCGGTGGAAGTGGATAATAGGACACACACTGCGGAAAGCACCGAACTGAACCACAGTACAAGCCCACTCTTGGAACCCTCAAGGTCAAAGGAAAGGAGGAAGGCCAAAGAAGACATTACGCCGAGAAATAGAGAAAGACATGATAAGAATGAACGAAAATAGGAACAAACATTGGACGGAACTGGAGAGGGAAGCCCAGGACAGAGTTGGTTGGAGAAAACTGGTCGGCGACTTATGCTCCATTGGGGGTGACAGGTGTAAGTAAGTTGCAAATAATCACTGAGGAGATACGTCTTGGGAAAAGTATTTATTTGATGATTCGGGTCGGGTCTTTTAATTAAACCATATACCGAACAATGTTAGATCACCATAAGAAACCTGGAAATACTGAACGACCGTGTCATCCTACTAAGGTACTTACCCATCATTGCCAATGTGCATCCACAATTACGCACGTAAAAAATCGAACACAGGACTTTCATTCACAACTTCTAGAGCACTGAGTCCAGCATCAAAAAGTGTTCATTTATCATTTCAATCGTTTTACGATATTATGCAACCATTCATTGTTGGTTTTCATTTATGTCAGTCAGCTATAACGTAGAACTTCGTACATACATACGTACATAAGTTCAAGTTGTCAAAACACATTAGCACAGAGAGGCAATTTTTGATTTAAATCTCAAAGTGGTTGGTGTAGTAGTAGAAGTATTAGTGGTAATCGGAGAGATTCGAGTTCGAAGATATTATTCAAGAAGTATAATTCAGTGAAAGATGGAGGGCATTTCAGAAGATTTAGATCTGAGAGAAGACAAAGAATGAATGCACCTGAGCTATTGCACACCATTTTGAGCCATGCCATTTAAGGTTTCCAACCATCGATTACTATTATCTCGTGGACCCCAACCAGCTAGCTAGTCTACACTTACCAACATGACTCAATCCAGTTGTCAGTGACTTCTTCATGAATTTGTACCATGTTTTGATTTGGCCGCCACTAACTTTCTTCCCAACCTACTTTCAGTTCTTCCAGATGTCTAATGCTGCTCTTACAATGATCAACTCATGTTTTCAAAAAGAAAGAGGTGTACTTAACAAATAAATGATTTACAATAAATCTAACAGTACATCATTTGGTGAAAAAATTTCATAAAATGATCCACTTACTTATCAGCTTGTTTATGACCTTCCAAATATGCTAAATGTTCTTCAAGAGCTTCCAATACTGATGGAGGAACCTAGTAGATGGAAACATATTTTTTAAAATCAACGTGTAATGTTATTTTTGAAGATGACTGACGAATAAAGAATAAAGTAATTTGCATGACGGGGTTGTTGTGAAGATTGTTAAGTTACACATTTTTGAAAGCATGAATCGATCAATGTTAGACCACCATTAAGAAACCTGGAAGCACTGGATGGCCGTTTCGTCCTGGTATGGGACTGCTCAGCAGTGCGCATCTGCGACTCCTGCACCCCTCAGGATCCAAACCCAGGACCTTCGGTATTGTGAGCGAACGTCCTAACCGTTAGACCACTGAGCCCGTATCTAACGGTCTTAATGTCTAACTTGATCAAATTCACGGAGTTGCGCAACCTCATACACAGTCTTCGGTAGACACTGTCTACACCCGAACAGGTTGAACTTCACTGGCCACGTCTTCCCACTAGAACTCGGAGAAGATTCCTCACAGAGCTAGTCACTCACTAGTGAGCACAGTTAATTTGCATGACGGGGTTGTTGTGAAGATTGTTAAGTTACACATTTTTGAAAGCATGAATCGAATAAAGTAATTGACAATAATTTAGGGTGATCAATTTTATTTTTAAATTTTCATTTGAAATCATGAATTAATGCAGGTTTGACTATCATTGAAAACTTGGAAGAAAGCATTGAAAGACGGTTGGCTGTTTCGTCTCAGTATGAGATTCATAAGCAGTGTAGATTCATGACCTGTAAGCGAGAATTATATTCAGTCTTGTTCACAAATATTTCACCAGTAGACAACTAAGCCGTGGATTTGATGGTATATAAGTTTAACTTCGATGAATCTATGAGATTGAGATCATAATTCAGTGTTCTTCAATTGGTAATTGGCTCACACCTGATAACGTTTAAATCTACTGTTTGCGGCTTATTCCTCGAACTCTGGAAATTTTTCACTAGAGGCTAGTTACTAGCGAGTACATAGACAGACAGGCAGACAGATGCAACACAGAATTTCGTACGTATGTACATCAGTTCAGGTTGCCATACTGCATTAGCACAGAAACGCAACTGTCATAGTAATAGCGATAGTAGAGGTATTAGCATTAATGGAGAAGATTAGGGAGGGAAGATATGATTCGAGAAGTATAATTCAGTGAGATACGTTAGAAAGACAAAGGTAGAGGTGTTGACGAATCCAGAAGCTTAGAATTCGAGAGAGCACAACGAATGGATGCACCTGCGGTGACTATCGTCTCGCGGACTCCAACCAGGTAGCCTACATCTGCCAATATGACTCCGTCCACTTGTCAGTGACTTCATGGATTTCTGACATGTTTTGGTTTGGCCGCACCTAGCTTTCTTCCAATCTACTCCTACACCACAAAACATAGCTCGTCGACGCAGTCGGTGGTTGGGCATACGTAACACATGTCACAACCACCTCAACTGATGAAGTTTTTATACTTCATCTATTGATTTGCCATCCTTACCTAGACTTCGTTTCCTAACGACAGCATTGCTTACTCGGTTGTCCCACGATATACGAGCAATGCTTCGAAGACAACGATGATCGAAGACGAGCAACCTACGAATGTCTTCTACTCTGACTGGCCATGTTTCACAGCCATAACTAGGACGGAGCTAACTGCTGTGCAGTACACTCGTCCTTTAGTCAGCAAACGGATATCTCGCTTGCTCCATAAGTGACGCAGGTTGGCAAAACTCTCACACAACAACATCACAAATGAAGATCTGATGGCAATTAGACTTAAGATCCGTTTCAAGCCGATATTGTTTAGCAACGGAGGGAGATTTTCATTATAGGGTTGTTGTAGAGGAGATTGTTGAGTTTCATTTAAATTATGAATCAATCAATGTTAGACTATCATTAGGAACTTGGAAGTACTGGACGGTCTTCCTAGTAAGGGACTCATTCGAAGTGAGCATCTGAAAACCCCGCTACTCGCAGGAATCGAACCCAGGACTTTTCGGTCTTGTATGTGAATGCTTAAACTTTGGAGCACTGAGTCAGCATCCTTTCATCGATTCACGGTTTCAAAACAGAGGGAGAGAAGTTTATCTATCTTGTGGCTATTTTAATCCAGTGATTATTATGGCCACATAAAAAATCACAACTGTTCCCCTCCCAATATCTATCTATCTATCTATATGTATGTTGGCATTTACATACACTTAGATAAACACAATGGGACTTGACACACTTCTTTACAGGGTGTTTTTTTTTTTGGTTTTTGGTAATGAATGGACCTTGATTCTTTTTGATAATCAATTAGGCCAGATAAAACGCCCTATTCATCACATTTGTACACCTTATATATTCATTTCAACACAAGCCTGTGTATGTGTGTCACATATGAATGACAGGAGAAATATATTAAAAGATAAGTCGTCTTTCAGATGTCAATAATGTAGTAGGTTTCAAGCTATTGTGACTTTCTTATCGGTTTATAAACGGCGATACACATCGATTTCCCTTCGATATCTAAAATTTTTAAAAAGCTTAAGTTCTAATATCTGTTGTGCAAATATGATTATTGTTTACGAGAGGGTTGTAGAGATTGTTGAGTTGAAGTGAAATTATGAATTGATCAATGTTAGGCCTCCATTAGAAACCTGTAAGTACTGGGTGGAATCGAACACAAGGCTTTCGGTCTTATGAGCGAACGCTTAACCTCTAGACCAACGAGCTGGCATCCAACGGTGTAAATGTCTAACTTCGATCAAATCACGGTCTTGTGCAACCTCATCTGTTGCCTTCAGTGGGTACTGTTTCCCACCTGACAGGGGTGGACTCCAATGATTACGACGTCTCACTAGAAGAACTTGGAGAAACTTCCTTACGGAGCTATGATTAATAGGAAGATGTATTTTTGATGTTCAATAGTGTACTCTGATTCACACAAATTCAAAATGTAAAGATTAGTTTTAAAAAATTTACGAAATGACAACGAATTTATGATTTACGTAGATTAGAATATGTTAAGAACGTTTAAAAAACATTTCCAGATTTTACGTTCTGTATGCTCAACCCCCGACCGTAGCTGCTACCTTGACGTGGTGGTCGGGCTTGCCTATTGTGATGACCCAACCGAGCTATATTGGCTAGAACATATGTTTCTGAAGGTTCTACCATGCCAGGCAGGTCGATTCGAGAACGATGAGACTAAAAGCAGCTACTCAAGGTCTGAGGGTGAAGTCGTACTGTTGACTGCAGAGGGGTGTGACAGCAGTAAGGTGTTTCCCTCAGACAACCAGCATCTGCAGCGATGCTACCTTCTCACAAGGAAGGAAGGGTCAGAAAAGGTCGACCCTAAAAATGTCACACCTCCCCTACCTCACGGATTTTTGTCTCCGGCGGTAAGGGTGCCCACTAGGGGCCTTTAAGAGCGGAGCTAATACTCAAAAATCCTTTCATCAAAAGGCTGTGCGTGACCGGCCTCAAGCAGTTGTCCCTTGGACTCTGCGGTCACGCTCCCACGTCTCTAAGACCAACACTAATCTATCTTTCTTCCTTCCCTCAAGAAACAACCTTCCACGGTGTGGGCAGCCGGGAAGTGACAAACGCCCTCATACCTGTAACAGCACGACTGACTGACTGATGCTCAACCACCGACTACTTAGATGGGAAATGAAAGCTCGTTTAGGAGTAGATTGTAAGAAAGGTGGGGGCTATCAAACCAACAAACAAACAAAACACAGTATCACTCTGTCAAGTTACTGACTGTTGATCTGAGCCATATAAGTAAGTAGGTACAGAATACTTCGTTGTTGATGCCCGCTTTATAACTGCGATCAGTGGATTCGAGACATTGGTCGACATAATCTCACGACGACAACACAGATAAATTCATCCTGGATATATTCCTTTGGATCTTCAATTCCAGTATCCTTTAATCACTACATGCTTTTATATTCTGTCAATTTCAATAGCCTGTTTTATTTATCATCGCTAAAAACTATATCTAGTTCTATTTTGTAGTTAGTTCATTTTGGTAATTTCATCTGATCGTGGTTAATGTGAAATAGCAACTCGGACCGAATGTACATCTCAATTTTACTAAGCGACTAACTAACATTGAGTTACTTCAAAACAATTTTCATTTGAAAATCTTGCTATTTTCATAACATGATACTTAGCTACTGTTAAATTTAATAGTAGTATGAATAAAATCACACAAACAATTAAACGGACACTAATCAAAGACGAGTGTGGAGGTGGTTAGGATTACCGATTCAACACAACCGAAAAAAATCGATTCACACTTACTGGTTTAAAAGAGTTATTTTCTGATAATGGCGTACCTCCAGATTCAGTAGACTGAAGCAGAAAAACAAAGTGAGTTTACATATACGGTGATTATTTTTTTTACCATAAAAGGTATTTGTAATAAAAGTATTAACAACTATAAAAATACAGAGTAAGGTGTTTGACATAAGTTTCACATTTTCAGTTATCATAATACAACGAAAAAGGAACTAGGATTGTAATCTTAGCAGTGTGAATGCATTGTATTTTCACAACATACTAATAATCGTTTCACAGATCAGAGTATAATATACAGAATGGAATGTTGCATGGTAAACTAGTTTTGTAGTTGGCAGACGCGTATTTTATCTACGCTACAAGTAACGTAAGTTGGTGAAATCCAACAGAACTTCACGAGTCTGTGCAGAGACTTTTTTTCAGTCACCAAACCAACAGGGATAATGAAAATTCCAAGATATGTGAAGTGTCATATACATAAGGATTTGGGTAGAATAAGATGAATCCGTTTTATATTGTTTGGTTCTCATCAGCTGTTTACAACCTGCTTAAGTCTTTGTTCTTGTTTTATTCAACATGTGTGTGAGGGGGTCGATACATTAAACCAATTCATTCCTGATCATCATTAATTTAGGTATTTGCACAAAGCAGCCTTAACGAAACCTTTTGCGTCACGATGAAATAACACATTTCAAACATACTTCCACCATAGCTCACGGAGAATCAAAGACTATGCATGTTAACAGCATGTTCATCAAATAAGGAGCCCTCTACCATCTGTGTATTTTTGTCATGTCGTGATGAAAGATGATGGCCTATTCATAAGTGTTGGGGATGTTAGATCCCCGAAATTCGCTTGATAATGCCTTATTTTGGTTTTCACGTTTGTCAGCATGGGCTGATCAGATGACCTTGAGATTTAAATTCCCACCAGCAAAATCCATGGCTGTGATTGGCTGCTGTGTATTTTAGTATGCTATTTACTTAACTGTCCCAAGGACGTTTCTATGTTGTATAAATAAACGAGAGTTGTATGCTTGATTGTACTGTGATTGCTGGGTGTTTGTAGAATATACTTTCTACGCTTACAAAGTCTTTTTACTTCAGCTTGGGATTCAAGGTAGCCTGCCTGGACGTTGGTCCATTGTCTCGTTCGCGTTTATCGACTAAGGTAAACTCGTAATAGCCTCAAGCATACTAAGTGACGAAGTCAATTAAGAAATTTCTTTCCAAAGCTAATATTTCAAATATTTAACGGTTTAAGCCTTTTTCTCATCAGAATTGTGTAACACTCTCACATTCTTTTTATGTCCAAGTTGGAGAATAGAGATTGTTATGTTTTTATACAAACTATGACTGTTTAACGACAGACATTGACGGTAAGTTGTAAAATTAATTTTATTTCAGAAATAAGATATTTGAGCATAGAGTTCTCCCCGAAATCAAGGACGTTGGTGGCTGTACCCTGATGGCATACATACTAACAATAAAACGCATTCAACTGTTATAGCTGAACGAATACTGGGAATGTTAGAACTTTTTTGAGATATCGACATAAATATACCTCAGCTGCTTGGAGAATGAATCCATTTCTTGACCAATAATAATGATATGCATGCGCCCATCAGGGAATATTTCCGATGACTATCGAATATTTATGTTGAGGAAGTTAAATCCTCGGAAATCACTTGGAAAAGGTCCTTATTTTGTAAATTTATTCTGAAACTTTTCAACTTTTATGTCTTCGCGCCAAAGATTCTTATTTTGACCTTCAGTTTACATTACCGACTCGGAAAATCGATGACTGTCATTGGTTGATGGATTATTTTAGTACACGATTTTGTGGCTCTCACCAAGGGCATTTTATCACTGTACAAATAAGCTTGAGTTGTGTGCGTGAAAACTTGAAACTTTCTGGCTGCCAGTAGAATACATTTTCTACGCCTTGTCAAGACTACTTGCTATAGTTAGCGCGGTCTGGGACAGTCACTGCATTGTTGATCTTCGTACCGTTTACCGAGTAAGGTGAACTCAAAATAGTTTCAAGCTTATTAGTTAATTACTGAAATCATGAATCGATCAATGTTAAACCATCATTAAAGCGCAGGATTCGAACCCAGGACCAGAAGCGCGAACACCTAATTTCTGGATCAAATGACTTTCTTGTTCGGTAACTTCTTTATTGTCTAACTAGTCGATAAATGTATAGCTGTAAGTTTTCAATGGATCTACTCATTGTCGCTTTATATTTTATAATCGATTGATTATTGTCAATAAATTGTGTACTGTCTGCTTTATCCTCCTCTATCATTTATCGTATGATTGTGTTGAAAAAGTATGAGTTTTTTTATTCAGTGCTCTGTTGTGTGTGGGGTTGGTTAGGCATAACCTATAGAGAACTAATCTGTTGCCCAAAAACTGCATATTTTGATGAATTACTGGGGTTAAATGAAGCTTGAGGGATTAATAAGCTTTTATTGATTAATTTACCCGCAGGTTGAAACTTTTGATTGATGAAGCGATTTAGAACAGTCTTCCAGTCTCCGACATTGTTCGAACATTCCATGTACCTAAAATAATGGTTGCTCTGAGGCATCAGCCTCGTGACTTCCGAAGGAACTCGGCCCTTATCATGAGACGCCATAACTTTTCTGGATGAAAACCTAACTGCTAGGGCACAGCTAAAATAGTTAGCGTTTTTCAGCGAGTTGGTTTTCTACGGGATCGAGTCGCCAACTTCATGCCCGACCCACCGTCATCTGGGCTTAGGACCGGCAGTAGCCCCAGAGAGGTTCCAGGAGGAAACTTGTAAAACTAGCAAAGCCATCATTAACAGTTGTCTAGGCAAGATACTTCAGATCCGTTGGCCAGACTCCATCAGCACCAGCCTACTGTGAGAAAGTACAAACCAGATTTCATTTGAGGAAGAAATAAGAAAGATGCGCTGAAAGTGGATAGGACACACATTGTGGAAAGCACGCAACTGTGTCACAAGACAAGTCCTCACTTGGAACCCTCATGGTAAAAGGAAACGAAGAAGGTTGAGGAACACATTACTTTGAGAAATGGAGACAGATATGAGAAGAATAAAGAAAAATTGGACAGAACTGAAAACGAAGGCCCATGACAGAGTAGGTTAGAGGATACTAGTCGGCACCCCATGCTCGACTGGAGGTGACAGGTGTAAGTAAGTATTGGTTAATGTATAAAACTAAGTCTTAATCGACAGTCGAAAGTGTATTTAGTAAATTTAGCACGCTATTATTATTATTATTATTATTATTATTATTATTATTATCGATCAGAAAACCGCAAGTCATAACAATATGAGAATAAGTTTTAAAATTCTACAACATGAACTGCGCAAAAAACAAGACAATTATGCACATAAACTACACTTTTTTTTTATAACTTACTTCAGCAACTTTGACAAATGTATTTAAAGCTTCCATTCGTTGTAGAAAATTTTTATAAATTTCTAATGATAATCGACAATCACGTTTGGACATGGTGAAATAACGACCTTTTATTTTGAAAATGATGATCAGCAATGAACACAACAGAAAAAAAACAATTTGAATATATCAGCAGTATTTAAGTAGGTGTTATAAGTTAAGGTTTACAGCAAAAATGATAATATGATGTTGACTAATCAGTCAGTCGGTCAGTCAGTCAGTCAGTGAGCTGCTACAACGTGTGAAACTTGGTGTGTACGTAGGTATGTATATTACAAATCAGTTTTTAAGTAACCATCGCGGAACTCCAAACAACTACTAATCAACACCATAATCAGGATTTTTAAACACAAATGTCAAGACAGTTCTACTACTGTATAGGGTGGAAACTTGGAGAACTACGAAAGGCATCATCCAGAAGATACAAGTGTTTATGAACAGTTGTCTAGGCGAAATACTTTGGATTCGTTGGCCAGACACTATCAGCAACAACATACTGTGGGAGAGAACAAACCGGATTGCGGTGGAGGAGGAAATCAGGAAGAAGCGGTGGAAGTGGATAGGACACACACTGCGAAATGCACCTAACTGCGTCACAAGACAACCCCTCACATGGAACCTTCAAGGTCAAATGAAAAGAGGAAGGCCAAGGAACACATTACGCCGTGAAATAGAGAAAGATATGAGAGGAATGAACAAAACTGGAAAGAACTAGAAAGGGAAGCCCAGGATAGAGTTGGTTGGAGAAAGCTGGTGGGCGGCCTATGCTCCATTGGGGGTAACAGACGTAAGTAAGTAAGTAAGTAAGTAAGTTAAGTAACCATCTACCATATTAGCATAGAGACATGAAATTGACAATTTGAAATCTATGGTGGTAGAGAAAAGAGCAGTATTAGCACTAATGGAGAAGATTAGGGTTCGAAGATATTATTCAAGAAGTATAATTCAGTGAAATAAATTTGAGAAGAGAAAGATAGAGGTGATGACAAATACGGAAGATTAGAATATGAGAGAATACAACGAATGGATGCATCTGTGCCATTGCAGTCGATTTTGAGTCATGTCTTTCAAAGTTTCTAACTATCGGTTACCAATATCTCGCCAACCCCAACCGGTTAGTCTACACTTATCAACATGACTCAATCCAGTTGTTAGTGATTTCATAAACTGGTGCCATATTTCAGTTTGGCTGCCCCTAGATTTCTTCCAACCTGCTACCACACCAAAAAACACAGCCCGTAGAGGCAGTTGGTGGTTGGGCATTCGTAACACATGTCCCAACCACCTCCACTGATGAAGTTTCAATACTTCATCTATTAATCTGTCATCCTAACCTAGTACCCCTTTCCTTGCTCGATTGTCCCAGGATATACGAAAAATGCTTCAAAGACACCGACAATTGAATATTAGTCACCTAGAAATATGCTCTATTCTTAGTGTCCACTCTTAACCCCACGTAAAGTAGTACGACGGAGCCAAACTGCTGAGCAGTAGACAAATACCTCAGCTACATTCTATTGTACTCATAAATCTTCAAGTAATATGGTTTAACAATAACAGTCAGTAGAAAACTGTTTTAATTGTAATCGTTTACCAAAATGGTACGCCTTTTTTGAATGTATGGTGGAATCAGTCAGCTACAATGTGTAGAACTTCATACATGTACGTACGTACATTGCAGTTCACAAGTTGACATAACCACATAAGTACACAGAGATGCAACTGTCAATTCAAATCCCATAGTGGTAGAGATAGTAGAAGTATTAGGAATAATCGGAAAGATTAGGGTTCGAAGAGATTATTCAAGAAGTATAATCTAGTGAAATAAATTTAGAAAGAGAAAGATAGAGGTGATGAGGAATTCAGAAGATTAGGATGGATGCACCTGCGACACTACAAACGATTTCGAGTCATGTCATTCAAAGACTCTAACCGTCGGTTACTGTTGTCTCGCAGACCCCAACCAAGTAGTCTATACCTATTAACATGGCTTCATAATAAACTGGTGGCATAGTTTGGTTTGGCCGTCCCTAGTTTTTTTTTCCAACCTACCCATACATCACATAATATCGTTCGTCGAGGTAACTGATGGTCAGACATACGTAACACATACTCAAACCACCTCAACTGATGGAGATTCACTACTTCACCTATTGATTTGCCATCCTTACCTAGTACCCTTTTTCTAACAACTGCATAGCTTACTCGATGGTCCCACGAAAAACGCTTTGAAGTTACGGATGATCGAAAATCAGTAACTGACGAATATTCTCTATTCTTAGTTACCATGTTTCACACCTATAGAGTAAAACGGAGCGAATTGCTGAGCAGTAGACTCGTCCTTTGTTTGGTAAACAGACATCTTGCCTACGCAAGTTGACAAAAACCAATTGAACTCCCCCTTCTATATCGAGATTTCGACAGACATCATCATACAACCACGAAAAAGTATCAACGTAACAATCATTTAGACATACAGCACAAATTAACTTACCAATCAAATTAATCATACCCTCATTATATACAGCGTATAAACGAATTAAATCACGATAAAGTGATAAATGAGCAACTCGAAGAAGTGAATTCGATAATTCATTGGTAGTCGCCTAAAAAAAAAAGATGAACCAGAGGAGAATAAGCAGAATGCTTGAAATAGATATTGTTGGGGGATGTTAGATCTCCCAAGAATTCGGTTGATAAATATCTTATTTTGGTTTTCACGTTTGCAGCCAGCATGGGCTGAACAGTTGACCTTGAGATTTCATTTCCCATCAGGAAAATCCATAACTGTCCCAAGGGCGTTTCTATGATGTATAAATAAACGAGATTTGTCTGTGCTTGATTGTATTGTGATTGCTGAGTGTTTGTAGAATATACTTTCTACGCTTACAAAGCCTTTTTACTTCAACTTGGGATTCAAGGTAGCCTACCTGGACGCTGGTTCAGTGTCTCGTTCGCGTTTATCGACTAAGGTAAACTCGTAATAGCTTCAAGCATACTTAGTGACGAACATAACAGATATATATACATGTTTGGATTATGTAACATAGATATTAATTAATAAAGAATGTGATTACTTACATCGAACATAAGTAGTGCATCCAATTGTTTCTCAATGACTGGTAATGTTTTCATTAGCTATTCACATTTGAATGAGAAAAGAGGATTGATGAATTATTGAACACAAATAATTTAATAAAAATATCTCATGGTTTATTTAACGCCAATAAAAAAAATATGCACAGTGTTTGAGTTTGACATTGATCATTGAACGAGATCGTATTGTTTGGATGATTAAGAGAATGATTAATACACATACACAGAGAGAGAGCCAATCAGAAATGGCCGAATGTGAAGGTCACGCTTAATGTCAATCGGAAATGACCTAAAGGATAAATATGCATACTAGTTTACTATTGGTCAAGAAATGAATTGATTTTCTAAGGGGAAGAAATGTATTGATGTAGATATAATAGAAGAGTACTCATGAATACTCTTGAGTTAGCTAAAAAGATTTCCTTGATTAATTAACGAAACCTTCTATTTAAACTGAACATTTATTAGTGTTTGAGATCTGATCGTGATAGTGTAGTGAACGAGAACATAGGGGGGGGGGCAACCGAATTGTGTTTAACGAAAATTACAGAGTTACTCAGTAAAATAGGAAAACCATATCGTAAATCGTTAATTTGCAAAATATTAGTTCATCGTATCGAACTGGACTGTTCCTGTTGCAAAACATCAATCCATTGTCACTATTCATGCGTTTCATACAAATTCCATTGTGTTCTAACTCTTCCTTTCTTGATCTTCCCCCATCTTCTTCTGCTGCCAGACATTACGTTGACACTCATGTCATATACTACTTATAAGTAGCTCGCACCACAATAGTGTTAGGATATTCATCCAATATCCTAAAAGAATTATTGGTCAATTCCTATTGGTTAATTCCTATTGGTCATTTTTATGGTCATCCTAGATATCAATATCACGTGCTCGAATGTTGTTTCTTATTGGTTGTCCTGACTATCAATGTCACTTCAAATGTTGCTTCCTATTGGTCGTCTTAACTGTCAATGTCACAGACTTCGATGCTGTTTCCTATTCAACCAAAATGTATAAATACGCATTATCTGTAACATTTTATGACCAGGACCGGATCCTTAGTGCGGGATCCTAATTCTCTTCTGGACTCGGACCTCGTACTTTCTGGATGCTTGTAGAATACATGTTCTACTTCATATCAAGTCTTCTACTTGTGTTCAATCGGGGTTTGGGTCACTTGGATTAGAGTAGCCTGTCGTGTCGCCGGATCCTCGCTCTCGTTTTCCGACTAAGGTGGTAACTCGTAATAATTCAAGCATATCAGTTGAAGTGTTAACGTGCATGCGTAACAAACCCACAAACTATGCTCATACGATTTACTATTCTTAATTTGTTGTCAGTTTATTAGTTACACTATCCCCGATTACTCACACTCACTTTTGACCTATTCGTATACAATTGTTATTTTCCGTTTTATAGGTATCGATAAATAAATATCTGAAATATAATAATAACGAATCTTGGCTTAGTGACCATCAATCTCGTGTGTTCTGCTTCCTCTGATTTCATGGTTAGTTAATAATAAATGGGTCAGTCAAACCATCAGGCATCAGTCCTATCATCTTTGTCGCGTATCGGTCAGTGATAGGATAGAGCATAAATAAAACATTAATTACGTTGAAATACCACGTAAGTTATCACTTACTTTATCTTGTGGCATTGTCCTCATATCCCCGTCTTCTTTACTACAAAACATAACAACAGATCAAGGGTATAATAATAATAATAATAATAATAATAATTCATTGTTTCTCTCTCCTCAGCTATTCTATTATGTGATAAGCCATTAAAAATGAAACTCAATCACCCAAAACAAACACAAAGAGTACTGATAATAATGGGAAGATAGTATCAATAGAAGATCTGAACACCCTCTCCAGCTATGGTAATTCAAATCAGTAGAAATAGAGGAGGAGGAAGCAACATTTTGCATTTCGAGGGGGAAAACCGCATCCCGAACATGCTTGCATTGTTGCTTAGGGTAGTCAGAAGACTCTGCATTTTGTAAGCGTCATCACCAAGTAGGACAATGTCATCGGCATATTCTAAGTCAATAAAGGAGCCAGCAATTAAAAGGTCTACTCCTGAAAATTCAGACGAGGATAAGGTTATTTCTAGGAGCATGTCTAAGATAAAATTAAACAAGAATGGAGAAAGTGGACATCCCTGATGGACACCACTTGAAGTAAAGAATTCCGGTGACATTTAGCCATAAGCTCTCACTCGACTAATAGTGTTCGAGTAGAGAGCTTGTATAAGGTTAATGTACATCTTTGGTATACAGTTCAATGACAGACACTGCCACAGAACCTCCCGACCCTTAGAATAGAACTAATCAGTAGTGCGTTTCTATGACCCTGTCAGCTATTGAATTCATGGTAACTAGAGTTCATAGAGAACACACTTTATGAAGATGAGTATGAATATTTTTAGTAGTTAATTCATATTAAAACTCTTTGTAATCGGCAAAAATTATAGACAAGAAGATATACTACTGTTAATAATAAAAGTAGTCATAAGGACTACTGATAAAATGTATGCGGATTTGTTTAGTTGCTTCAATCGAATCTATATTCTCAGATAGTTGAAAAGTCAGTCAGTCAGTCAGATGCAACGTAGAACTTTGCACGTAAGTATATCCGTTCATGTTGCCATACCACATCAGCACACAGATATAATTGTCAATTCAGATCCAATAGTAGAAGAGGTAGTAAAGGTATTTGAAGTAATCGGAGAGGTTAGGATTAGAAGATATTATTATTCAAGAAGTATGATTCAGTGAGAAAAGTTTAGAAAGTCAAAACTAGAGGTGTTGAAGAATCCAGAAGATTAGGATTTGAGAGAACACAAAGAATAATCCGACCGTAGCTGCTACCTTAACGTGGTGGTCTGGCTTGACTATCGTGATGACCCAACCGAGCTATATTGGCTGGAACATATGTTCCTGAAGGTTCTACCATGCCAGGCTGGTCGATTGGGGAACGATAAGACTAAAAGCAGCTACTCACGGTCTGAGGGCGAAGTCGTACTGCTGACTGTAGAGGGGTGTGACAGTAGCAGTAAGGTGTTTCCCTCGGACAACCAGCATCTGCAGCGATACTGCCTTCTCACAAGGAAGGAAGGGTTAGAAAATGTCAATCCTAAAAATGTCACACCTCATCCTACCTCACGGATTTCCGTCTCCGTCGGGTTGCCCACTAAGGGCTTTAAAAGAGCGGAGCTAATACTCGAAAATCCTTCCATAAAAACGCCGTGCGTGGCCGGCTTCGAGCAGTTGTCCCTTGGGCTCTGCAGTCACGCTCCCAGGTCTCCAAGACCAACACTAATCTATCTTCCTTTTCAGGTTTCTCAAGAAAAAACCTTTCACGGTGTGGGCAGCCGGGAAGTGACAACCGCCCTCATACCCGTAATAGCACCGAGACCAAATTAGTCAAAATCAAATCCTTCCTACACCCCCTAACACCTCTCTTATCTCTACGACTAACTCTTCTCACATTCATTTATCACACTGCACCGCTAATGCAGACGAAGCGAGTTCACGAAACGTCATTCCTGGTCTCTTGAAACCCCGTTCTAGATAGTTGAAAAAGTAAGAACTGATCATTCTGATTATGGGAATACCAAATTATGGTTACAATTAATTAAGATTTTGAAAGTTGTACGCAAATTCGATTAGTTAGTATTGACAATGCAGTCAGTTCAATGTGCCATGATTCTCAAACACAAATTATCAGGGTTGTAAGCATGAAAAGAGAAACATTTTCGAAACAGAAGAGAAATTATGTAGCGTAGAATAGTTGAACTAGGCTCAGAAGTAAGGATTAAGATATTAGAAATGTGACTAAAGTTTAAGGAAACGGTTACTGATTAGTCTGAAGGATCTCAACACCTCAACATCATGGGCACTGTCGAGCAGATGATAAGCAACTAGACTTTTGAAAACCTTCTAACGAATTAGTTTCAACTTTTCCGAAATATGTTCAGAGATGAGGACATAAACCATCCTTTCTGTCTTGTCGATATATGATGTGCTTTCAGATGTACATGTAAACTGGTTAACAGAATTGAAGGTGACATAAAGTGGGTATTTGTTCACATGTGATTATCACACGGTTGATTGAATAGAGAGCTCTAACCGAAGATGTTTTGTAGTTTATTGGACAGAAGAGCTAAGGAAGTTCAAGTATAGTCAAAGCTCGTACCAAACAGAATGAAGACAAGTACCCACATTATGTCACCTCCGATTACATAACATATACACACCGAAGCGCATACATCGGAAGAACACAAAGGAGCATTTATGCGCTCATCTCTGAAAATATTCTTCCAGAAGAGTTGAAATTAATTCGTAGGAAGGTTTTCAAAAGTTCAGTCGCTTATCATTTGCTCGACAGATGGTCATGAAGTCCTGATATCCTTCAGAATAACCAGTAAACAAAGGAATTTAAGATTGTTACGAGCGTTGCTGAGACTAAATTTCTCAGATTTTTCTACGAAGGTTTTATTCAATACTGACTGGATAAAACGTATACTAGCGTCTCTGAGACTCTATAGAATTCTTCAACGGATATTTTGAAGCTCCCCAGCAATGCTATTCTAGAACAGTGAAATATTTAACTTACAAATGACTGAAGGTTTGAGCGATTTCAACTGATCCCTTAATATTAGTCAATTTCTAAATTTAACTCCACCTGAAGTTACTGCCGGTCCCAAGCCCGGAAAAAGGAGGATTAGGTGTTAGTGGAACATAGATAGAATTAAAGCATGACTACGTCAGCTGCGCGTTGATTGGCTAATTTCCTATCCAATCAGCGCCTGATCGATTCTTGGAGAACAGGGTAGAAAATTCACGTGTTGTTAGCTGCATGCTGATTGGTTAAATCTAATCCAGTCGATCATGTAAATTACAATCCAGAAGCTTCTCATGAAAATACTATAAAGAATCTAACGTTGTATCGATTTTTGGCCTTCGCCATCACCTTTGGCTTCTTATTTCTATTTAACCTTGCTATTTGGAATATAATCTTTTCCTGTTCAACCGTGTTTTTGATTCTTTGGAACTTGTCCAGTGTATTGTGTGGTCAGAGAATACTAAGTAATTAGTTGGAATTAGCTGGGAATTATCTAAGCAACCGTTACAACATTAGGCATGGGGTTAGCAACCCCATCCCGCAGAAATCCAAAACGCTAACCAGAAAAATGATCAGCTGGTCGGCGGCCTATGCTCTATTAGGGGTAACAGGCAAGTAAGTAAGTAAATTTTCGACAATTTAACTGAGGTTATAAAATGTGGACACTTGTTTGATTTTAATGATTGATACTATGATTTCTAGATTGTTAACAGCTGGAGCGAATCCATGAAAATATGATGAATTCATTGTTATTCTGCTACAACAGTTGTACTTTCTTGAATGGGAAAAATTATTAAGTGATTAGGCTACAAAGACTTAGTGCAACATTCGTAGTAGGCGATAACATTGGTTGAAATGTTAACATTTAGCGATATAATTCAGATTAGTAGTAATTGGTGACTATAGATAGGTCATCATCAGTGAGTGGAGGGCTTTTTCAACCTACTTCAACTTTTGTCTAAGCTATAAACCTGGAAAGGATTCTATCTAAATTATAAGTTAGGCAAACGTTCTTATTAGAGGATTGGATTAAAGCAAACACTGCAATCAGATAGGCAGTCAGTCAGCTACAACGTAGAGCTTCGTTTGTGAGTACATCAGTTCAAGTTGCCATACCAAATTAGAACACACAGAGATCGAACTGTCAATTCAAATACCGTAGTAGCATAGGTAGTAGAAGTATTTCGACTACCTGGTTAGGGTCCGTGAGATGATAATAATCGATGGTTAGAGACCTTGAATGACATGGCTCAAAATCGTTCGCAATGGCGCCGGTGCATTTATTCTTTGTGTTCTCTCAAATCCTAATCTTCCGGATTCTTCAACCCCCCTAGTTTTGACTTTCTAAACTTATCACACTGAATCATACTTCTTGAATAATATCTTCTAATCCTAACCTCTCCGATTACTTCTAATACCTTTACTACCTCTTCTACTATTGGATTTGAATTGACAATTACATCTCCGTGCTGATATGGTATGGCGACATGAACTGATGTACTTACGTACGAAGTTCTACGTTGCATCTGACTGACTGACTGACTGGCTGAGTAGAAGTATTAGTGGTAATGGAAAAGATCAGGGTTCGGAGATATCATTCAAGAAGTATATCCCAGAGAAATCAGTTTTGAAAAGGAGAAAAAACGGTTACGAGGAATTCAGAAGATTAGGATCCGATAGAACACAAAGAATGAATGCATCTGCACCAATGCAAACGATTTTGAGCCATGTTACTCAAGGTCTCTCTTAACATCGGTTACTATTGCCTTGTGGACCCAAAGCAGGTAGTCTACACCTAGCCACATGGCTCAGTCCACTTGTCAGTGACTTCATGGATTTGTGCTATGTTTTAGTCAGACCACCCCTAGCTTTCTCCTCGCCTACCCCTACACACAAGGCATCATCGTTCACCAAGGCAGTTGTAACACATGTCCCAACCACTTCAACTGATGAAGTTTCAATACTTGATCTGTTATCCTTAACTAACTAACTCGTTTCCTAACAACAATATTGCTTACTCAATGGTCCAATCAGATAGGCAGTAGAGTAAAATTATGTTAATTAGGTTAATGGCATGAACCATCGATTGATTTTACAAAGAATACCATGGTTAAACAAGAAATGACGGAGAACACAACTCTAGTCATATATAATTACACTAACTTACCCACGTTTTAAACGACAGAAATCAAAGGCTACTTCACGATAGGATGCTGCTTTCTCATCCAAATACTTTGCATAAGGTCGTAGAAACAAAGAAATTCCATGAGCTGGCGGTGATTGTCATAGTTGGTTTTTTTTGGGGGGGGGAGGGGAGGCAGAAAAGAAAAACACATGATGACAGGATAATAATCAAATTACAGTAATAGAGGTGAATATTGCGCAAATAGAGGTATGAACGCATTACAAATGAAGTCAGGTCACTAATGACGTGTATAGATATGTTGTATCTGAGGTCGAAAAACAGACCAATAAGAATGGCCGACAAGATCATCACAATCAGTCAGTCAGTCAGATGCAATGTAGAACTTCGTACGTAAGTACATCAGTTCATGTCGCCATACCACATCAGCGCACAGAGATGTAATTGTCAATTCAAATCCAATAGTAGAAGAGGTAGTAAAAGTATTAGAAATAATCGGAGAGGAACATCACAGTCAATAATACGCGACCCCCAGGGGACTGACTCTACAGTACACGAAGAGAAGTCAAACATCATCTATGAAATAGATTGTAACAACAGTGACAAGTATGAACACGAAACAAAGTGACCACCCCACAAAGTAGCTTCACCAGTGTCAACAATACATGTGGAACAACCATGGAAAGGCGGCGATAGACTGGGAAAAAAACACATCAAAACATCGGACTAGTAGAAACACATGAAAATGTTAGAATTTTCAAGAAACCTGTGACGCACTAATCACAATAAGACACATTGACACACATCGACCAAATCCATAGTCAACCAATACAAATAAGGATTAACAATTAGTTATACGGTCAGAAGAGATTAAGAGTCACAGCAGGAAATAATCAAAATATACACTATTACAGATAATAATAATAATAATAACCAATCAAATTCCAGATTGACAACACAATGGGCTGTGAAGAAATGCTAATCGCTTACTTATTCTGTACTTTGAAGCACGTGATCATGATGATGATGTCCTATTTTTACAATAGATCGATTTAATTGATTTGTACTATTTTGTTGAACTGTTTTGTTAATTTTCTCTTCGGACGGTTCATGAATCAAGGCAGGATTTTACAATTGAAAATAGAACAATGTATGTAATCAGTCTATTTGATTTTTGTCTGATAGGAATCGATCGAATAGAGATCTGACCGTAGCAGCTACTTTGACGTGGTGGTCGGACTTGCTTATCGTGGTGACCTGACCGAGGTAAATTGGCTGGAATTTATGTTCCTGAAGGTTCTACCATGCCAGGCAGGTCGATGAGACTAAAAGCAGCTACTCAAGGTCTGAGGGCGAAGTCGTACTGCTGACTGCAGAGAGGTGTGTGACAGCAGCAGTAAGGTGTTTCCCTCGGACAACCAGCATCTGCAACGATGCTGCCTTCTCACAAGGAAGGAAGGGTTGGAAAAGGTCGACCCTGAGAATGTCACACCTCACCTTAACTCACGGATTTCCGTCTTCGGAAGGAAGGTAAGGCTTTTTAAACAAGAGCGGAGCTAACACTCGAAAAACCCTTCATAAAAAGGCCGTGCGTGACCGGTCTCAAGCAGTTGTCCCTTGGGCTCTGCGGTCACGATCCTGGGTCTCTAAGACCACCGTTAATCCGATTTCCTTTTCAGGTTCCTCAAGAAACACTCTTCCACGGTGTGGGCAACCGGGAAGTGGCAACCGCCTTCATACACGTAACAACACACGAGACCGAATTGGTCACAAAAAAATCCTTCCTGACCGACTGATCAAATAGAGTGAAGGCCCGAATTATATTCGTTCCGTTCAACATTGGGTGATATTTTGACTCATTCATTCGATCAAACACAACATGAAACGAGGCAATTGCGTGCATCAATGCAAGTTGCACCATTCCATGAGCACACTCACATGAATTTGTCAGGGAAAATACCATAGTAGTAGTAGAGATTGTAACAGTATTAGTGGTAATACTAAAGATCAAATATCAACAATAGGACACGACACACTCAACTACTTCACTCTACATTATTAGTTCAGGTGTTGATGCAGATCAGTCATAAAGTTAAGTTTTGTATTTAGAGGGAGAGGAATAGATTGGAAATATGCTGGCATTCATTCTTAAGGCTGTCAGAATATCCTGGAAATCGTGCATCAATCATTGTTAGACTACCATTAGAAATCTAGAAGCACTGATTAGACGGCCGCTTCATCCTAATATGGAACTCTTCAGCAGTGCACATCCATGACCACCACATGTGGGGATCCAACTAAGAGTCTTCGATTTCGCGCGCGAACACTTAACCTCTAGACCAATGAGCCGGCATCTAACCATGTTACTGTCTAACTTTGATCAATCCAAGGCTTTCGCAAGACCGAAGGTCCTAGGTTCGACCCCCGCGAACGGAGGGCGTAGATCCACACCGCTGAAGAGTCCTAATACTAGGACAAAACGGCCTCCCAAAACAGTGCTTCCAGGTCTCTGAAGGTGATCTAACAATCATTGATTCACCACGATTTCAATCACAATCTCAAAATCAAGCTTATCTTTCATTGGTTGATGCCCCTCTTTTTTTTACAATAATATAGCTAAGAGGAACAAAGATTAATTGGAAAAGTTTTCAAACGATTATTTACTGTAGCAGTATTAGTATTGGTAGAGTAATGCGATTATATTCACAACACAAACTTGATATTTTAGCATTGGTGTCACAATATGTTCATCACATGATGATGTTGTTGAACTGAACTGTGCAATTACAGTGTGTGTGTGTGTGTGTGTGTGCGTGTACGTGAGCAAAGAGTTGCATCTATTAAGAATGATTTGAGTGCACAAAGTGTACACAATTGGCAAACTAACAAAATAGAAGAGAGACGAGAAGAGAAAAAACCCCAGCTAATTAATTCATAATGAATGAAAAGAATTGATCAACACACAGGCACGCAGGTACGCACGCACGTACACAGACACACCGACACACACCAAAACAACACTGAGAAAGGTTTCACAGTGAATATAAGTCAAGTTGAACGTGATCACACAGTGAGATTGGATTACGTAACAATACTAACATAAAAAAACAACGTAGGATAGTATAGTATAGTGTGGTGTGGTGTAGTGTAGTGTTTAGATAATATCATCTAACATAAGTATTTGGTTGGATAATAATTACTATTATGCAAATCAAAAGACAATCCTGTATCAGAACTATGTGAGGAGATGTAACACGGATGCATTGAGCATTGTACTAGTTTGAACAATCTGACTACTTTATTTATCTGTGTGTCATAACAAATCTGTATAATAAATCAATATTGCCAGTCTAAGAGATACTCAACAAAAGGAGAAGAGATGCAGATAGGAAGTAAGCTGCGAGTTATAGAAAATATCTACCAAGTATTTGCTTGCATGAATAGTTCTGAAGTGAGGTCAGTCAGTCAGTCAACGTAGAACTTTGTACGTAAGTACATTAGTTTATGTTGCCATACCACATCAGCACAGAGATATAATTGTCAATTCAAATCCAATAGTAGAAGAGGTAGTAAAGGTATTATAAGTGATCGGAGAGGTTAGGATTAGAAGATATTATTCAAGATTCATGATTCAGTGAGAAAAGTTTAGAAAGTCAAAAGTAGAGGTGTTGAAGAATCCAGAAGATAAGGATTTGAGAGAACACAAAGAATAAATGCACCGGCGCCATTGTAAACGGTTTTGAGCCATGTCGTTCAGGATCTCTAACCATCGATTATTACCATCTCACGGACCCCAACCAGGTGGAAGACACCTACCGACATGACTCAGTCCACTTGTCAATGACTTCATGGATGTCTGCCATGTTTTGGTTTGGCCACCCCTAACTTTCTTCCAACCTATTCCTACACTACAAAACAAAGCTCTTCGAGGCAGTCGGTGGTTGGGCATACGCAGCACATGTCCCAACCACCTCAATCGATGAAGTTTCATTACTTCATCTATTGATCTGCCATTCTTACCTAGCACCCGTTTCCTAATTACAGCGTTGCTCACTCGGGTGTCCCAGGATATACGAACAATGCTTCGAAGACACCTATGATCGAAAACCAATAACCGACGAATATCTTCTACTCGTCTGCAGTGAAGAGAAAATGAACTAGGGTGAAAATGAGCAAATCGATCGATGAAGCTATTAAGTTCTCGTTGATTGAGTTGATCAAGATCCGTGTTACGTATACGTTACTAATCCTTAAGAATCATTATGAAACAATCAACTTCATTGACTACGAGAAAGTATTTGACAGTGTGGACAAGATGATACTCTGGAGGTTTGTTCGACACCATGGTGTACATGAGAAGATAGTCAACATTAGACGGTATTCTTATGATGGATTAAACAGTAAGATAGTGGTGCATAGAGGATCCTTTCCGAGTGAAAACCAATTCTCTTTCCCCTGGTAGTCAACTGCATTATGGAGACGTCAATAGTTCGGGGGGAAGCACAGGATAGAGTGGAGGGTTGGGATGCAGCTGGACAATTAGGGCATCGCAGATAATCTAGCTTTCCCATCCTACAGAAAGCCAAAAATGCAACAGAAGACAACTAGTGTAGCGGCAGCCTCTGGCAGCAGTAGGTCTCAACATAGACAATGGAAAAAGCAAGATTCTACGATACAACACAACATACATCAATCAAAAGCTTGACAAATCTGAGCAACATCTTTGATAAACAAGGTGGACCTGATGCCGATTGGCAAAGCAAGGGTAGCATCTCTACAAATGAAGAAAGCCTGGAACTTAAAATAACTATTATCCAACACTTAAATCATAGTTTTCAATAGAAACATGGAAACAATTGTATTGAGCGGAAGCTTGGAGAATCACGAAAGCCGTCATCCACAAGGTACAGGTGTTTGTTAACAACTATCTACGCAAGATACTGCTCATCCGTTAGCCAGACAGAATCAGGAACAACCTACTTTGGGATAGAACAAACCAGATTCTGTGTGAGGAAGGAATCAGGACAAAGTGTTGGAGGTGGATAGGACACCCGTTGCGGAAAGCACCCAATTGCGTCACAAGTAAGCCCTAACTTGGAATCCTCAAGGACAAAGTAGAAGACGAATACCAAAGAACACACTGAGCCGAGAATAGGAGACAGAGAAACGAGGAGAATGAACAGCAGTTGGTTAGAACTGGAGAGGAAGGTCCATAACAGAGATGGAAGCACTGGGACGGCCGTTTTCTTTCCTGGTGTGGGACTCATCAGCAGTGCGCATCCACGACTCCAGTTACTCGCTGAACTCAAGCCCAGGACCTTCGGTCTTGCACGCGAACGCTTAAACTTTGTACCACTGGGCCGGCATCCAACAATGTGAATGTCTAACTTCAATCAATCCACAGTCTTGAACCTTCGGCGAGCACTGCTCCACACCCGAATAGGGTTGAACTCTAATGGTCACGAATTCTCACAAGAAAACTTCTGAACCAGCAAATAAATAAATATATATACAGTTTTTTAAGTGTTGCATAAAATTAAAACACATTCAAAGAACAAACTTACCTTGAACACTGTTACGATCAAGTAAACTTGGTATGTAAAAATGGCAATTATTTGAAGCGATATACTGTGAAAATCTCTGTAATAGCAAATACAAGAAAAAAATTATTTGTAAGATAATTAGCAATCAATAGGTTGCATGGGGTATAAATCATTGCGTTGTTGCACGCTGATTGGCTCTCTTTTGTATCCAGTCAGCGCTAGCTAATACTGGGGGAACATTCTAGAATCTTTTCATGGAAAAAACGTCTTTTTCCTTTGGAACTTCTTAGACTTCCATCTAACCTTATTATTTATTGGAATATAATCTATTTTTTCCTCCTGTTCAACCATGTGTTCTGATTTTTGGGGAGAACTTTTCAAAGTGAATTTGGTGTACGAAAATACTAAGTAAGCATTAGGAAAATAGCTGAGTTGTTGTAATAATAAGATAGAATTATAACATTGAGTAAGTGGGTTTGTTACATGTTAACATATTCTAGGCTTTGAATAAGCATTTTATATTATGTGAAGATTGCAGTTTATTAGTTGTACGGTATTCCTAGACGTTGCTGAGTTTGAGTCTGTGACTTACAAGAGTTGAGAAAACATTTGGATTAAGGTATGAGCTTGCATAAAATCTCAGCTTGAGTGTATTTGTCGTTAACGTCTAAACCCATGGTTAAGATATCATGACAGAGTCGTGCACGATTGGACTTCCTACATGGCAATGTTTTCTTCTGACTTAGTAAATGACTTGAGATAGATTGTATGTGGCGTTGAATTTAATTTCTCATGAAACACTCTTACTCGTTAGAATGGTCTCAAATAAAAATGGAGAATCATTGTTTTACTATCAGTGGGGCTTTTGACAGATTGGATACTGCAAACCCTAAAATAAATCGGATGTCAGTCAGCTACAACGTGGAGTTTCGTACGTAAGTACATAAGTTCAGGTCGCCATATCACATTAGCACACAGACACAATTGTCAATTCAAATCCCATAGTGGTAGAGATAGTAGAAGTATAATGCAGTGAAACAGATTTGAAAAGAGAAAGATAGAGGTGATGAGGAATTCAGAACATTAGGATATGACAGAACAAAAAGAATGAATGCGCCTGCGCCACTGCAAACGGTTTTCAGCCATGTCATTCAATGTCTCTAACCATCGGTTACTATCATTTGCGGACCCCAACCAGGTAGTCTACATCTACCAACATGACTCGATCCACTTGCCAGTGATTTCATGAATTTGTGCCATGTTTTGATCAGGCCACCTCTACCTTCCTTCCAACCTACTCTTACACCACAAAACAGTTCGTCGAGGCAGTCGGTGGTCGGGCATTCGTAACATACGTCCCAATCACTTCGACTGATGAAGTTTCAATACTTCATCTATTGATCTGCCACCCTTACCTAGTACTCTTTTCCTATCAACTGCATTACTCACTCGATTGCCCCAAGATATACGAGCAAGGCATCGAAGACACCTGCAATCGAAAACCAGTAACCTACGAATATTCTCCCCTCTTACTGGCCATGTTTCACAGCCATTAAGTAGGACAGGGCAAACTGTTGCTCAGTAGACTCGTTCTGTGGTTAGCGAACGGATATCTCGCAAGTTAGTAAAAGCCAATCGGACCTTCTGTGTTCATGCTGAGATTTCATCTGTCACCAGGCCATCAGCACTCATAAGACTCCCGAGGTAAGTGAAGCGGTCGACACGCTCAACTGCTTCATTTTCTATCAAAATGAAGATAAAGATAGGCAGTATAGTGGCGACTTCAGCAAAAAAAAGCCGTCAATATTCAATGAGGAAAAAGCAAGACTCTGAAATGTAACACAGTGAGTATCAATCAAGTCACACTTAATGGTTAAGCTCTGGAAGAGAGGACAGCATTTAGATACTTGGGCACTATCATTTACTAATAGGGCGGATAGGACACAGATAAGACACGGATTGGTAAAGCATCAACAGAATTCCTACGGCTGAAGAATATCTGGTACTTAAAAGACCTGTGATGACATTCAAACTACTCAAATGGCTCTTAATAAGGTGGTTATATATGTTCATACTTATAACACATCGTCTGTGTTATCGGGAAATATTAGTTTTATCAGAATATTGTAGATACGGGACTGAAATAATCCTGGATAATGAAGCGTTTAATAAATTATAGAAGTTCATATGTCAGGCTGATTGGGTATGCCGGTAGTGGAGATAGGAAGTCTATCTTAATCTAGTCAAATGCAAAACACTATAACTCAGTAGAAACATTATTTTGCGCTGTAAAGGGTTAGGTGTACAACAGTGTATTGCCAGCAGTCCAGCATTTCGTTTGTGATATCTAATACTTTCACAGTGAGTATGGCTGTGAAGCATGGCCGTTAAGAGTAGAAGACGTTCGTAGGTTACTAGTATTCGATCATAGATGTTTAAGAAGCATTGCTCGTATACTGCGGGACAACCGAGTAAGCAATGCTATCGTTAGGAAACGGGTGCTAGGTAAGGATGGCAGATCGATTGATGAAGTGGTGAAACTTCATCAGTTGAGGTGGTTGGGACATGTATTACGTATGCCTAACCACCGACTGCCTCGACGAGCTGTTTTGTAGTGTAGGAGTTGGTTGGAAGAAAGCTATGGGCGGCCAAACCAAAACATGGCACAAATCCATGAAGTCACTGACAAGTGGACTGAGTCATGTTGGTAGATGTAGACTACCTGGTTGGGGTCCGCGAGATGAAAGTCACCAATGGTTAGAGACCTTGAATGATATGGCTCAAAATCGTTTGCGATGGCGCAAGTGCATCCATTCTTTGAGCTCTCTCAAATCCTAATCTTCTGGATTCGTCAGCACATCTACCTTTGTCTTTCTAACCTTATTTCACTGAATTATACTTCTTGAATAATATCTTCGAACCCTAGTCTTCTTCATTGCCATTAATACCTCTACTATCTTTATCACTATGGGATTTGATTTGACATTTGCGTTTCTGTGCTAATGTTGTATGGCAACATGAACTTATGTACATACGTACGAAGTTCTACGTTGCAACTGACTGACTGATGAAACGGTTACGTATTAGGTCTTTATCTTCTTATGTGCTTGATTAGAGAGGGACCTGATGTTTAACTGGCAAACAATTTCTGAAATAGTTAGTTATAGTTGGAAAACGTGCTATATATTTCCGTAATTAACAAATTCTGCATAAAGTACAATTGGTCATTCTTGGTATAAAATAACGAGAATTCCATCGATATAGATGTGATACATAGTTGTTGCTGGTTTATCACAACTCCCGGATTGTCATAGAGTAGCACAAAACGTCGTTACATACAGTCTGGAATCAAAGCCCATGGAGAATATGGTTGGCGTTTGGTTTTGTCTTATAGTGAGTTATACGTAATTTAGAACCTGTAAATTGTAGACACTGATTTAAGTTGCCACCATTCCGTCAGCATACTCACATGAATTTATCAGGGGCAAATATCATATTAGTAGTAGTAGAGGTAGTGACTGTATTAAAGGTAATACTAATGACCAAATATCAACAATATGACTCGAGAAATTATAAATTTATGAAGTATAAAAATAATCAGTCATAAGGAATTCAGTAACTCAGGATCTAAAGGAAGACAAACACTGAATATACACATGTCCTTACAAACGATTTTCAGTCATGTCAACCAAAATGTCGCTGATTAATGTCTTCCTTTGATCCACCTCTACTTCCCTTACAAACTACTTTTACACTGGTTATGATTGTGAGGTGAGGCAGTCGATGGACAGGTTGACACAATACATGTCCTGACCATCAAGGTCGATAACCATTCAATACCTAGTCCATAGATTCTCCATACTCAACTAGTAGTCTATGTTCAACCTTACAATTACTAACTCGATGGTCACAAAATACACGATTAATGGATCGAACACATCCGTGGTCGAATACCAGTAATCTACAAATATATTCTATTTTTAAAGACCATCTTTCACATTCACAAAGTAGAACGGAGAAAACTACTGAATAACATACTCATCTTCAAGTTAGCAGGCACCACAAGAGATGCAAGTTGACAAAGCTAAACCCTTATTTCTGACTTGGTGCCGAAATTTTGTCAGACACTGACCCACAAGGGTTGATGAGACATCCAAGATACGTTAAGTGACCGGCACACTCTACTTTACGCCACATTATTAGCACAGGTTTTGATGCAGATCAGTCATGAAGTCAAGTTTTGCATTTAAAGGGCGATAAACACATTAGAAATATGCTGGAATTCATTCTTAAGGCTGTCATAAGACTCTACATATTTTCGGTGGTTTCACCAAACAGAACCGTATCATTGACAACGAAATTAATTTGAAAATCTATTTCGTCAACTATCTGATCCTCATCAGGAAGATGGACGTATAAAAGCAATGGCTAACCTTTAAATTATTAATTATATCTAATTAACAGACTCTCCATACAACAATTTGAATTTGTCAGTGTTTAGTACTTTTTCTACTCAGAAAATAGAGAAATAAATGGTTTAAGATCCGTACCATAAAGTATATGCTCATCTCACTACGCAACTATTGAATGACTGGTAAGAGTGTTGAAACATATTTACTGAAAACTGGCTGTGTATTTGTTCTAAACAGGAGATCAACTGCAAATTTCCATGCTTGACTTTTCCACTAAACTAGAAACAATTCATGTCATGAGGCGAAAATCAAACTGACTGGTTGTTTGATTAAGAGGATTTAACCCGATTATTTGGAAATTAAAATAATTTGATGTTTGAAATGATGAGGACGTTCTGAAATACAGATGGATAATTTTCTTGGTAGCTTAAGGCATAAAGCATTACTACAAGCTGTGGAATATCAGTTCTCCTAAACAGCTCTATTTAAGATCATGTTTTTTCCAAAAGACAATACTCATTCGCCAGTTCAAATATTCATCATAGATAAAAGACTCGAATTTTATAACTCGGTACTTAGAACTGTTTAAGTTTTATACCTATCTGTTTCAGAAAAATAGCTATCATTATGGTATGTGCAGGGATTTCTACAGAATTCTCTTATAAATTTTAACAAAATAATGTTCTAACCTCATTTCCAAACTGCATTAGGTGGTGTATCGTCAGCAAAGCTTTGAATACAACAACTAAGTTGCCATGTTGCGTGCGGATGATGAGTTGGTTAGCAAAATCCGGGATTGAAAGGCGTGGTTCAAACGTACATTGGACAAGATCTTTATAACGCATAAAGAGTTATTCCAACACTTACATGACAAATGTTTTCTCTTAGGGGCGCACATTTCTTCTGTTGTAGCTTTGCAAATAATTTTAACAACTACGGAGCCTGACAAAGTGTATTTCATTGCCATCATTAGATCTGAAAGACTTTGACCTGTACCGCTACCGGCCAACTGTTTAACGACCTTCCCAGCCATCACTCTGAAAACAGTAACGCACGTTTTCGTAAACGCTGCGAAAATAAAAAGGGTGGTGGACACCAAGTTAATTGTCTAATATCCGATACTATCATGATGAGCTCGTGAATAAACCATACCACTTTTCCCCCCTTTTATATTGGAGTTACGGCAAAGTGTTACATCGTTAACTTCAATCCAGCTTTGCTGATCACACATAGGACGGTGCTGATAACAGCTTTATAACGCCCTATCAAGAGTATCAAAATGTAATGGTTAATTTATCACTTGAAAAGGGAAAGAATACACTGGAACGTATCCGAAGGTTACCCACGAAATTAACCCAAATGACATGTACCATTTTAAACACTAATCAGCATCCCCTTAAAAACTTATGTTTACTCCCAATACGAATCTTAAGGCAAATACCCGGAAATAAGATGTGTGGCATAGCAAAAATGGCTGTAGGTTTACCTACTCTATACGGGTTGTCAAAATCTGGGATTCCTTACCAACTGAGATGGTAAAACAACTTCACTGGAGTCCTTCAAGAAGAAACTTAATATATTCTCAAGAACTCAGGGCAACACTTAATCACATTTTACCTGTTTCTTTTTTGCTTGTGGCATGTACCTAGGTTCCTGCTTGGAAGCATGAAAGACCCATTGTGACTAGATACCAAAGCCCGTTAGGCGCAAGCCTCTTCTATGACGTCTACAACCCCCGTACTACTTTAACTCTGCTGAAGCTCTGTTCTTCAACCTCATTGAAGAATCGGAATTATTTGTAATTGAAGAAACAGTCACATGCCATCCCTCTTAGGCTGTATTTTTATAAACGAAGAGTTCCTGACTGATATCTTAATCCTTGGGTGTCTAGGAATAAGCGACTACACAATCGTAAGTTTCAGTCATTCCAGCTAGATTGAGCGGAAGTATTCAGTACACAAAAGGAGTTTGAACTTCAGATGGCTGGATGTGTCATCTTAATAGCACAATCTGCAGCACGTAGTCTGGAAGTCTCATCCACAACCTGATGCGCTCACTCAATAGGATTTCTTACTTAACGAAATTTTACGTGTTACGAACCTGTTTTTCCCACAAACGTTCATCAAAGGTTTTAAGTGATTTGGTTATAAGTAGTCTCACTCTTCGAATGCTGGAACTTAAAAGGAACTACATTGCAGAACATAAACAGCCTGGTGATTAAAGCATACTGGTGAGAAAAGGGGCTTAGGGAAGATGAGCTTCTATATCAGATGAGGATCAGTTTGTCTCCATTCATTTAAACTCAGTCTCAACACAAATCTTGAGGACTATACCAAGAAACTATGGGCATAACGCAGCAGGACAGACGAGAGCACATCTTCTACTCTTTAAGAGTAGTTGCTGCCGTCAGCGGAGTCAGCTTAGTCGCAGGCTCATAAAGAGCTTACGTGATGATCGTGAACTAACATCCTCTTGTGACAATAACAGGGGAATAAGTCTAACTGATATAGTATCTAAAATATTGGCCTCAATAATACTTCGACGCTTAACGAAAGCTCGTGAAGAGCAGACTAGAGAAAACCAGGCTGGTTTTCGACATGGACGTGGCTGTATAGACCACATCTTCGCACTACGACAGGTCCTAGAACACAGACACACATTTAGGCGTTCGACAGTAGCTGTCTTGCTGGATCTTTAGGCGGCATTTGACTTTGTGGATCGTGAGGTTCTTTGGCAGTGCCTATCAATGAAAGGTATACCAAAGAAGTACATCAACCTTATACAAGCTCTCTACTCGAACACCACTGGTTGGGTGAGAGCATATGGCGAACTGTCATCGGAATTCTTTACTTCAAGTGGCGTCCGTCAGGGCTGTCTCCATTCTTGTTTAACTTAGTCGTAAACATGCTTTTGGAGTTAACATTTTCACCGTCTGACCATTTAGGGGTGAGCCTCCTACCAAGAGACACGCTTGCTGACTTAGAGTATGCTGATGATATAGTTCTATTCGGTGAAGACGCTAACAAAATGCAGTGTCTCCTGAATACTCTAAGCAACAATGCAAGCATGTTCGGAATGCGATTCTCCCCTTCGAAATGCAAGATGTTGCTTTGGGATTGTCTTGTATCGGCACCTAAAATGGTGAAAGGGAGTGAAGTAGTTGAGCATGTCGCCCGCTTTACTCATCTGGAGAGTCTTATCAGTGCCTGGTGACTGACGAAATCTCAGTTCGGATACAAAAGGCTCGATTCACTTTTGTCAACTTGCATCAGTTATGGCGTAGTCGAGATATCGCTTCGCTAACCGAAGGACGAGTCTACTGTGCAACAGTTCGCCTCTTACTACTTTATGAGTGGGAAACATAGCCAGTAAGAGTGGAGAATATTTGGAGGTTACTGGTTTTCGATCGCAGGTGTCTTCGATGCCTTACCCGTATATCTTGGGGCAATCGAGTAAGTAATGCAGTTGGTAGGAAAAGAGTACTAGGTAAGGGTGGCAGATCAATAGATGAAGTATTGAAACTTCATCAGTCGAGGTGGTTGGGACATGTGTTACGTATGCCAAACAACCGACTGCCTCAACGAGCGATGTCTGGCAATATAAGAGTAGGTTGGAAGAAAGCTAGGGGTGGTCAATCCAAAACATGACAGAAATCCATGAAGTCACTGACAAGTGGTAGGTGTAGACTACCTTGGTTGGGTTCCATGAGCTAGTAGTAACCGATGGTTAGAGATCTTAAACGACATGGCTGAAAATCGATATTAATGGCTGAAGTTCATTCATTCTTTGTGTTCCTTCAGATTCTAATCTTCTGAATTCCCTATGACCGTTATTTCTCGTTTTAAATGGCTCCTCTGTGGTGTACATCTGGACTGATATGTTTGATCATTATTCTTCTTGATTACTGCTAACACGTGTACTACATGTATCACTATGGGATTAAAACTGATAGTTTGCTCTCTCTGTGCTAATGTGCTATGTCAACCTAAACTTATGTAGGTATGTACGAAGTTCTACGTTGTAATTAATTGGGTGACTGAGTAGCTGCAGCCCCCCAGTGGTCTAAGCCATACCCCAGGAGTTCTCAAAAAAGTGACATTACGTATCCTCAGGGACTGAAGACAACATTTCACTTGCATCTACCGTTGTTTCTTTTCAGCTTATTAACTATATTGTCACCGGTAGAGAATTCCTTAATCTCAATAATCATAAAGAGAAGGGGTGTCTACTGTCTGTTCTGCTACTCCGTGCATCTAGTTTCTGGGTAGGTTTTGTTGAGAATGAGTTAAAATACGAATTTTAGGTGGTGCCTAGGGGTTTTTAATAGGTCACCTTTGCGACGCCAATCCTGTTATAGATAGAGATACAGTGATTTGAAGCTTTGTTTATAAGGATGGAACTTTAGTCCTCGAACCGACTTCCTGTCTCACCTTCAGATACGTTCCAGTGTATTTTTATCCTTTTGGAACGAAGGAGGAAAAACCGTACATTTCCATACTTTCGATGAGGTCGAATAAAGATGTAAAACTTGGTGAATCTTTCTAATGTCAAAGCGACCAAATATTAACTTCAAGGTCGATAGCAGAAAATTTGTTCGAAAGGCATTTTTGTCACATTTACGTATAACTTTAGATCATATGATACTAAGAATCCGGGATGATTTTCAGCTCGGGACACCTCTAGAGGGGTTACTTAGGTAGTCGTTTCCTGCCCCAGGATGTCTACGTCCACAAGCCAACAGGAAGTAGCGACGATCGAGCAGTCATGTTTAGCGTGGTCATGAACTAAGTACTATGGAGAGACGAAAACGGACCCTACCCTTGTTACACTACGGAAAAACGCACGTGCACGAGAAAGAATTTTCTACATGCCCAAAAGCCAAGAAAATGGCAAAAGTTGATCACTGTAAAACTGAGAGACATCATCCAGAATTCTGTCCCAAAAATTTATGTAAGTCACATGAACACCGGAAAAGAGAATAACCTGGGTTAAACGAGACACGGAACGCCTACTACAGGCTAAACGAGGAGCCTGGCAAAAATGAAGGTTCTTGCTGAAGGATTCTGACAGTAGTCCTTACTCAGTATTGAGTTACAGATGCAGAGCAAGGATTTGAAGCGATAGGAGAGACTATCAGTAGAAGCTAGCTGTACAATACGGTAATAAACAAAATATCTCTTTAGGTTCCTGAAATAAGGAAAACCTACAGAGCAGTAAGATGTACTCTCAAAGGCGCAAAAGACGGGGAACTAACAAACGAGATAAGTCTGTGATTGTGTTGATGGTAAGCATTCACACGTACCCCATCGCGCGGCCAGTGTGTTATACGTGTCCCAACATCTGGCACAGTAAACATTCACACATGCAAACAACATGCACGACATTTGTTTCAAGCAATAATTGAATTATATCAGTGAATCTCAAACAACTGAGAACTGAGAAATTCTAGTTCTGCATAAGAGATCTACGACTAAAATTCTGTCATTAGATTTTCAGTAGTAAAATTTTCATTGCTAACCTCACTATCAGCTTTTACGAATAATATCGATAATACACAGCAGCGATTTTTAAACATAGTGATGATGGAGTCGAGATTGACTATGATCACCACTAAATAACTATTGCGGACCCAGTAACCGAGAAAATAAATGAATTCATGGAAAACTACAAACATAAAACACATGGAATAGTGCAGTTCATCAAATGGTTTATTATTCATTTAAAACGTGACTACATAATTGCATATGAATTTGTCTACATACTATGTACACACATGTGCGAATGTGATGCATGCTGGTATCATTCAAATATTGGAGCGTACAAAGTCCAATGCTCTGGCCACACTGGCATACTCGGTGAGAATATCTGAACGGCTTGAGAGTGTGACGCCATGTGATACCACACCAAGTACTGGACCTTGAGGCGATCGAAGCAGAGGTCCACCACTGTCACCTGGAGCGGTTATCTGCCCCACTCCCCTTACTGCTTCCACACAAATCGGATTGCCAGTGGTGGAGTGTTCGCATTGCATCACAGTAGCTCG